GTTCCTTCCCCCTCAGGACATCCCAGTGCAAAACAAGAGTTTCATTGATCCAATTGACTACAGCTGCAGAAGACAACACATCACTGACTGTTCACATTATGACAAGTTCTGAGACAGGCTTGTCTCGGATCGTTCAGACTCTGAAGAAATTATGCGATGATTTTACAGCATAACTGTGCAAGAGTTTTCCAGAGGGTGGTGTACAACAATAGGTTTGGTGTTTGAGAAGGGAGGCTGATTGTTTAAACGATGGTCTGGAATACTGAAAAGATTAAAGTTTAATATCCTTGTTTAGCAAACAACACATCTGATTATTAGGTCACACATAATAATCTTGACATATAAACTAACTATGAGTAAAAAGATGAATGGATTTTATATCCGAGAGAGGGTTAGTTATGTTGCGAATACTTCACAAGGTATTTGCTAATGTATTTTGAAGAACAAATAACAAGGACACAAGTCCAATTTTGTTTTGTTTTTAGATTAAATTGTCCATTACCAAAACTGTTCACCTTATGTCTAGATTTGGACTTTGATGGTAAGGGAGTATTTAGGCTTATTTTTATACATCTGACATTTTCAAATATGTTGGCTATTCACTAGATAGACTTTGGTTAAGAACTTTTCTGAAGATTGAATATTTGTTCCATTTCTAAATATTCCTATTTAAAAAGTAATTTTAGAGTAAAAAAGACTGATGCTGAAATTGGACATAATGTGAGGCCTTCAATCACCCATTGTAATGGTGCATATTATTGACGACCAATAGGGAGGAGGGGTCACTCGACCCACCCTGCAGTGGTTTTTAAAATCTTACTTGCAGCTTCACAGGAAGCACACGGCACCAGATTATGAGTTTGGAAGACTAGCGTCACCACCTCCTAATGGACATTAATTTAGTTAGTAATTAACTGACATTTAGAGATGTTAAAAAGTAAAAACATACCTACCATAAGTGATAATTCCTAAATTTAGCTACAAACCATTGATGAAATGACTTCTGTTTTTAGAATCCTTGATAAAGGAAGGAGTGATTGTTACATATTCGGACACCCAAGGTTCCACGTACTGTTAAAGAGGTTAACATTGTTCTTTAAGTGGACCAGATTTGAAGATGAGTGAATATGAGTTATGAAATACATAGCAGAGCTTTACAGATCCTAGTAATGGTTTGACTCAAGATAATAATTATGTGCACAAGTTTCTGAAATATATTTATTAGACATTTGAATATGGATTAGGTGTTGATAAACTGCAGTAGTAGTACAATAAGGAAGTGACATTTTTTGGCTAAACACTTTTCAGGGAATGTGGGAAGCAGCTGTCTCAATGAAAAGTTAGAGATATCTTGAACATTATAGTTGTAATTGTGAATTAATAAATGATGGCGCTCCATACATACATATTTTTGTAGACAAAGGATACTGGCCTATGCTGAAATGTCAAAGTCTTTGCAGAGCACGACACATGGCCAAAAAAGACTGAGACCAACTGACCTTTGACCCTGATCGACAGTGTAACTTGACAAGGCACTGTGAATGACTGACTCTGGGGTGAACCTGACCAAACTTGACTTTACAACCTGACAGTGTGAGTGTGAATGTGAGTGTATGTCTGCATGTTTTTGGACTAACACATTTTCCTGGGCCTCAATAATATTCCACAGAATTGGAAAACCGCACTTGTGCACTCCCACAGGAGGTGGCAGTTTGCAGAATGTGGAACTCAAACTAAAACATGAAGATTCTGTTTCTTTTAGGACTGAAGGATGGAGAGAAACACTTCATTTCACGGAAGTGTTTACTGTGGAAATGATGGATGTACATTTGGGAAAAAATGCTTGATATTTTCTTATAATCCATTATTACCTGAAGGTTTTCTTCCCATACAGGATTTTGGTTACACATGAGTCATGTGTAAAAAGGGGGAGTGTACTGCTGCCCCAACTCGATTGTTCAATCTGACCATTGATTGACAGTTTTAGAATTGACCTGCTCCATATCTGGGGATAAGATACTGTTTGGTGAATGTTGACATGTTTCTAATATTGATTGAGTTATAGCAGGTAACACAGATGCAGAATCAGTGGCCAAGGGGCTACTGTGAGAGATGTAACTCCAGAATAGAATACGGAAGAAGTTGACCTGTGAGTAATGTTTCAACAGGTATAAAAGTAACTGAGGTTTGAAATGTAGAAAGAACATATTACAGTTAAAGCTAAAACATAGTAATGTAATGAGACATAATTGAATTTAGACAACATCATGTAACTAGCCTGGTAAAGAAGTAAAAGCCCTAGACTTTATTGTTTAGGTCATTATGGGGATATACATTTCATCTAAATTTATAATAGAAAGACATTTGATGACAGTTTGTTGGAATTCTGTATTCATTTTTTCAGCGTGATAATATCTAAGCACTGACAGGTAAAAGCAGTATCACCAGGAAATCATTCACTTTGTTAGTATCGTGATTTTGGTTGTTTTTGAGTCCATAACATTAGTGTGTTTCTTTACCAGAAACATTAGCAGTTCATATTAGATTTGGATTTTAAAGGGGATCTCAGGGATTTCATTTAAAAATAAACACAGATGCTTGTCATAAATTCAGAGCTATTAAAATATGTTATTTAGTTTACCTAAAGATGTTGGGGTTCTTATTTAGTTGACACAGTCCAAGTATTAAGATTCTGAAGCTGCACTGGCAGATAGGAGGTCTACAATTAATTTAGAAAACCTGTTCACAGACGGCTGTTGTTTCAAGACACCCCACCAACAGGCTCCAAGTGGGTCAAAACAGCTGAGCGTAGGCTTGAGGGAGTTGTATCAGATTTCTCCACACAGGTTGCTGGCGCCAAAAGGGGGACCCGAGAAGCACGAGGCCGACACAGCAGAGTTCGTCTGGCTGAAAGTCATCAGGACAAAGTGGCTCAACCCCAGGCTCTCCGGCCCCAACCGAGTGACCCAGCGGACCTCTCATGCCGTCTGCCTAGGAGAAAAGGGGGACAGCTCGTACCACGGGAGCCAGGAAACGGCGGGGAAACCACCTGCTACTGTAGGACCAGGGGACGACATCAGGACGGACGTGGCCCTCGCAGACGTGGACTACTCGGAAGCAGCCATCAGTGGACTGGAGGAGCAGGACCCTGGAGACATCCTTACAGCAGACGACCCGGGAGGCATCATCAGCGGACCGGAGAAGGAGGAGGAAGACATCTCTCTAGCAGGCAGCCCAGAAGCTGCCGTCAGCGGATCGGGGGGACAAAGACACGGCAAGCCAGGACGGCACAGGGGACTTGTCGAGGCAGCAGAGGAGTCTACTTCTCTGATCAGTTCCACCCGTGAAGGGAAAGCCGCATCTCCCCCTCCCTATCAGCTGCCCCTTGTTGGCGTATTTCTCTGAGGGGGGGGGGGGCTGATGATTCACCACAAAAGGAGACTGCACTAGCACTCAGCTGCCCTCTCATGGTTCCTTCACTGCCATGGAAAGTGGTGTTCTGTCTCCATGAAGGTTTCAAGTACTCTAAATACCAGCTTCGGATGGATTTATACAATGTTTGGGGGATGGACACAGTAGAAAAGAATGACAGTGGGTATATGTTTCAAAATGCCTTGTTTAAAGTTTATCTCTGGAGAAAGAGATAAAAAGGGGGAATTGTGGAAGTTTATGAAGAGTATTATGCAGAAGATATGATGCAGCATATTTTTGGTATATTCATTTTAATCTCACCAATATACAAGAGGTGTATTGCATCATGTTATCCCTAATATATGTGTGGGTATATACATTCCTGTGTGTTAATAGTTGAAGGAACAAAATACATTTTTCCTCTTAAATATAGAGAGGTTTTTTATAGATTCCTGAAACAATGTTCCCTTTTCTTAAAAGTAGATTAGCGCAATAGTCTTTTTCTTTCACTTTACCCTTTTTATCAAAGGGGTGTTTTAGGCTATTTTTGAGGGGTAAAATGCAGAATTACTTGTGAATTCTGTTTTGAGTGAAAAGATTACCCTTTTGAGTGTTTTTCTTGGTTAACCATTAGATATAATGGCTAAATTCTTCCTAAGTTAATTATGCGCATCCTGCAGGCCTTGAGAATTTAGTCACACAGTTAAGAGAAACAATGGTCCTTCTAGATTATGGGTGAGCTGACTTCGGGTGAATAAAAGTTCAGAGATGATTGGGGGGTATGAAGACAGTTAGGCGTTGTTGGTGAGCTAGTTCTGAGGATGTCATGGGATAATGACTGTTATATTTCCAACAAGTATGGCTTTCATAAAGAAACACATGACTTGGGTGATAAGATGTGTTTTGTTGTAAAATGGGCCTGTTTGGTTTTCTGCTGGCCAGCGCTGGGTCACTGTGTCAAAGCATATTTTGCGTCTCCCAATGAGATGACCTGAAAAGATGACCAGCTGACCTAACCCCTTCCTTCTCTATTCTGGTATATCTCCTGTCGATTCCTGACGTTCGGCCTCTCTTCACATGCTGTCAGGACCGGAAGGATCTCCGCAGCACGCGAACCAGGGCAGGAGTGGGCCGGCATACTCCTTACACATTACAATATAATTGTAGTATATTATATTGTATTGTAATGTATTATATTGCATTGCATTATTACCTTTGATAATTAAAACAGATTATTGTTTCAACTGGTATCCGGGTGTTCTCTGTCTGATTTCCTTCCTGTTATGATTTTAAGCAGGACTCGTCAAAACGACACGCGGAGCAGAGTGGGGTTGTAAAAACCTCAAAACTCCAACAATACGCCTTATTGCCTTGAGTCTTAAAATGTTGAAGATTGTATCTTCATGTAAACTGAGTCAAGCTTATCAACCAAAAAACAGTCATAACATCTCTAGACTGGGAAATCCAGTCTGGGAAATGATGTGGAGTTATGGCAGGAAATTAGCTCCATATAATTTCCTGACATAACTCCACAAATAAACTAAACAGGTTTTACAAATGCCTCATGATTCACTAACAAACACAATGTGGACGCTAAAACTTTCGGGAAATGTCGACAGCAACTGGCGGACCTTCAAGCAGTAGTTCCAGCTTTACATCACGGCCATGGGACTGGAAACTAAGCCGGATGCTAGGAAGGTAGCGCTACTGCTAACTATAGCAGGCCCACAGGCGATAGAAGTGTACAATACTTTTGTGTATGAAGAGCAGGCTGATAAAGACAAACTGGATAAAGTGCTCGAGAAATTGTATGCCCACTACTCTCCCAGAAAGAACGAAACATACGAGAGATATGTATTCCGTTCACGTGTGCAGCAGCATGAGCCTTTTGATAGCTTTCTGACTGACCTGAAGCTAAAAGCACAGTCATGCAACTTTGCTACGCTGAGGGACTCCATGATACGGGACCAGATCGTTTTTGGCGTGGAGGAGGATACAAAGGTCAGAGAAAGGCTGCTAAGGGAAACGGAGCTGACATGTGAAGCAGCTATACAAATCTGCCATGATGCAAGCGAGCTGTCCCAAATGCACGTCAGGACTTTCAGCGAGATGGCGGGCGCGGCTAACGTGAGTGATGGCGCAGCAGTTGGTGCGGTCTCCAGCCAAGGCAAATGGCGCGCACAGACGCGGCCTACACAGCGGTCGGAAGAAGGGACATTCAGCTGTAAGCGCTGCGGCTCGAAGCACAAACCACGACAGTGTCCGGCATTTGGTAAGCAATGCTCTAATTGCCAGGGCCAGAACCATTTGGCTAAGCAGTGCTTCTCAAAAGGAAATGAGAGGAAGAAAGGAAAGTCTGTAAACATAGTGGAAGACGATGATTTATGTGAGACATTTTTTGTTGGCATGGTGAACTGTGAAACTGAGCAAAAAGAGGTTGATGCAATCAGAGAAGACAAATGGATAGCTCCACTGATGATTAACGGGACAATAATAACTATGAAACTGGATACTGGTGCAAAAGCAAACCTGATGAGCCTGTCTGACATCAAGGCAATGAAAGATAAGCCACAAATTAAAAAAAGAACACAGGCACTAAAAGATTATAATGGAAAGAAAATCAACAGTTTGGGCGTGTGCACATTAAAGGTAACCTCAAAAGGTAAAGTGCACCACCTACTTTTCTCTGTTGTCGCTGATGGACTTGATTCACTGCTGAGTGATAAAGCATGTGAAGATTTGGAACTTGTCAAGAGAGTGTATTGCATCAACACAACAGTGAGTACACCAAATGACTCAATTGATTGTATAGTACAGAGTTATGCAGATGTGTTTAAGGGTTTTGGTGTGTTGCCCTTCACATACAAAATCCAGCTCAAAGAAAATGCACAGCCAGTTGTGCATGCTGCAAGAAGAGTTCCAGGGCCACTCAGAGATCGCTTAAAGAAAGAGCTCGACAGAATGACAATGCTCGGAGTGATAAAAAAAGTTGAGGAGCCAACAGACTGGGTTAACTCGATGGTCTGTGTAAAGAAGAAAAGTGGTGATTTAAGAGTGTGTATGGACCCAAAAGATCTTAATGAAAACATCAAGCGTGAACATTATCAGATACCCAAGCGTGAGGAAATCACAAGTGAAATGGCAGGTGCCAGCTTCTTCACAAAGCTTGATGCGTCTCAAGGCTTTTGGCAGATGAAACTGGATGAAAGCAGCACCAAATATTGCACCTTTAATACACCATTCAGCAGATATTGCTTCCTCAGACTGCCCTTTGGGATCATCTCAGCATCCGAAATATTTCACAGAGCGATGGAGTACATCATTGAGGGGCTGGACGGTGTTCGAGCATATGTTGATGACATCATTGTGTGGGGCTCTACACTACAAGAACACAATGAGAGGCTAAAAAAGGTGCTGGAGCGCATACACAAGTATGGACTCAAGCTTAACAAGAGCAAATGCGAGTTTGGAGTTCAAGAAGTTGTCTTTCTCGGAGACAAGCTCTCTGCACAAGGTGTACAAGCTGACCAAGAAAAGATCAGAAAAGAAAAGATCCGCTGCTGCTGTCTGCTCGTTAACCTGTCTGGGATTGTTTTCAGCTGTGTATGTTATATGTATATGAGATGTGCCGTTGCCCGGACGCCATTGGATGCCAGTTTCCTGTCCCTCCTTCGGTAGGCGTGACCGAAGATCTGGATTGGAGCAGGTCGGGCCCGACTCACCAATCCCTGCCCACACCTTCCGGGGACTCTTACAAGAGTGTGTGCATCTCAGTTAGACGGGAGAGGTCTGAATCTGTGTCAGACGGCTCTCGGTGCTCTCCTTATGTTCTGTGTAGCTCTGTGCAGCTCTGTGCTAGTTCTGCTACAGTGGTTAGTTAGGGTGTGTGCTTAAGTGTGTATTCTGTGATTTGTGACGGCGTCAAACTTGTGCGAGATGCCTCACTATTTTAGCCTTAAGTGTAGTGATGACGAGATGAAGCCTTATGAAGCTTTGAAGCTTTCCAGCCAATTGGTTCGCAAAAGGGTTCATCTCATGAGGCTTCAACATGGGCTTCATTTGAACACAAACCCCCTGTTGGTCAAAGTGTGTAAAACAGGCAGATTGGACATCTCAACAGTGTGCTCTATCTCATACCGAGTTCCCAATGAGTAAAGCCTTAGAATAACTCTAAACAACGAACATTAAATCATATTTTCATGTTAACAATATTGTTTTTATTCCAGTTGAATGATTGTGATTGAAAAGCCTAAGGAGGCTGGTAAAAATTACAAATAGGGATTTGTATTCCTTAATAATATTCATAAACGTAACCATGTTGTAGCCTGAGAAAGGCTAAACCATATCAAAGAATACATTTATTAACTACATTATCTCATTTAGCTGTAGCTTTTATAAACAACAAAAAAGACGTATTGACGAGTCGTTGAACCAGGAACCCTGCGATCGTGAGTCAACTGTTTTCCAGCTGAGCCACAGCACACACGCTGAATCTCCCTGAAAATACTGTAACATATTTATTCCTGTATTTATTCATTCATGTTTTTTTTCCTACATTTATTTATGCTTGTATCTATTTATACTTATGACATGTTCCGACCTCTATATAGGTGAGGTTTTGAGCTCTTTTAATTCCATCGTGTCACCAGCGGGCCGGGTACAGGAGGGGTAATATCGTTCTTATTATACATCCATGGGTATTATGAGCGTTGTGGTTCAACGGTTCAACCGATCTGAATCGCTTCGTGAAGCAGTCACGTGGTATCGACAGGCAGCGAGGCTTCGTTTGTCATCGATGACGTCACTGGCCCAAAACGATACAAGCCTCGATACATGCTTCACAAAAAGCTTCGGGGATTACTCGACACACGCTCCGAAGCCTCGGCGCAATACGTAACATCACTACTTAAGTGCCCATAGTGCGCTATGACTGTGATAATCTGTGGCCTTCGTTTTGTGTAGCGTTATTTTGAACAGATAGCTGGTTTTAAGAGCCTGTGTTTTTGGTTATATCATCTTTATTTTGAGTTTATTATTAAAATCAACCTCTTACCAAGAACACCTGGTTTCGTGTTGCTTCCCTTTTACCCTAAGCGAGCTGGGGACGTAACGGCTGTGATAGACCAACGTATTTTCGCAGAGCTTGCATTTAACTTCCTTTGGACTTGTAAGTTTGAAGTAGTTCCACGAGGAGGAACTCTTTTTACCCGCCGCTTTGTTCATCTTTAGTCGCACGTGTGAGGGAGAGGGGGGGGGGTGGGGGCGGGGTCGGTGTGTAGCGTGCTGCAGCAGCAGTCTGCTCTGCACGCAGGCTTCCTCCAAGTTTACAGTAAAACAAACTGGTGGTGTGACCAATGGCCATTTACAATTATTAATACTATTATTAGCATTAGTCTATATTTTGGTTGAAACAATGCCAGAAAAAAAAAAAAAACATAAATAATAATAAAATATATAAATAAAATCGATTTTTAAAAATAATATTCGATTATGGAGACTGTAACGAATATTCGAATAATCACTGGCCTCCCTAGTTTGAACAAGGTGAATTTAGCGATCACAACGAAAACAGCCAAGACACATATTGAGACCAGAAAATGAATGTTATTAGGGCTGTAAATATAATAAGCCTTTGTCTAAAATGGACAACATTGTAACTAAGGAGATTTAAACCATACAGCGATTCTGCACTCTTCATTTTCTTTCCTGCTATATTCAATGAGTGATACAAATATTGTACCACAAGTTCTTAATAAAACGGACACTGTTGGACTCGGTAGGCTACTAGTTGACTGCTCCCAGAAATAAAAAGAAGTACTTTACTGTGTACTTTGTAAGTAATCCTCTGTCAGAGTCCCCACCATAAAACATTTAAATTTTAAATGTTTCCCTCATCAAACTTAGCAGAAGTGGCTTGATTAGGTTCTCAGGAGGGGACTTTGACAGAGGTTTTTAAAAAAAACACACACACACTAGAAGTACTTCAATGTATTGTGATAGTAGGTGTAAGAATACTGAGCACATCAGTCTCAATATCATTAAGAATTTATGGTAAAATTGTCTTTTTATCACTCATCAAAGATAGCAGAAAACATGCATTATACGGAGGGGACTCTGACAGAGGATTACTCACAAAGTAGGCTACACAGCAGGGGCGGATCTACCGGGGTGGCATGGGGTGGCAACTGCCACCCTAAACAATAGCCTTGCCACCCCAGCTGCCACCCCAGTTGGCATCTTTGTTTTGAAAGAAAGTTGTGGCTCATCGGACATTTATGAGAAAAAGTCTCTAATGTCCGAGTGCAAGTGAATGCAGCACAAGATGCACGTCATGTAACCCCTCCCCCGGTCCTGGCGCGAGAGTGGAAATATGATTGGTGGCGAATTCACTTGAACGGGGGGACGGCGCAAAACGAGAAGCCTTTCGGACCCAAGCACTGAAGGAATGAGGTAGTTGCGGTCTACACTGACAGAGAAGAGACTGTGAAGTTTGGCTGCACTCAGCATTGAATCAAAACGCACTACAGCTGTTGATCTTAATAAGTTTGTGAGGCGTTTTGCTGAACAAAATAATAATCGCCGCATTCAGCTGTAATAGACGTGCCAACTTGATGCTCTGCTCACGGATGACTCGATGAGAATAACAAACTGTTAAGATGATGACCTTGTATGCGTGTATATATTTTTTTCTTTGAGGGGGTCTGCCCCCAAAAAACAGTTTTAAGTCCTGAGAAAGTAAAATAAGACGGTGTGTAAAACTACACTGCCCAGCCAACAGAAAGTAACCACTTTGATTTAACTAGGCCAGTAGGTAAGGACCTTCCACTGGATAATAACTGCAGCGATGTTTTAGCTGAATACACGTTTTTTAACCCTAACTGATGCAGTTAGTCACTTCTTTAATGTTTGTTCTTTCTGATGTAAAGTCAAGGTTGTAACTGTATATTAATAATGATATAATTACTTGTTTTTCAAATTTGAAGGAAGGTGAGCAAGCATCTTGATGAACATTCATCATTAACATCATATAGTTTATTCAATAATAAATGAATATGTGAATCATAACAGTTCATTATATCTGTAAAGTGTCTTTGAGCACCTGTAAAAACGCTAACAAATTAAATCTATTATTATTATTATTTATTAACAGTGATTGACAGCTGATAGGAATAATATGATTGTTAATAGTATCATATTCATTCAGACAAACATCGATGAGACAGTTAATTAATGTACTTATTGCAGCAGTCTGCATAGATTTGGTACCCCTGCTGGTCTAAGAGTGAAACAAACTCATTCAGTTATTGTTCAGTTAAAATTCATTAAATTACGTCTGCCACCTTATAAGGCTTTACTGATGTGCCACAATGATATCACCTATGTGATTGAGTTAAAATATTAATATTGTGGCTTTCCAAGTTAACATTGATTGTAGGGGTGTAACGGTTCACAAACATTTCGGTTCGGTACGTACCTCGGTTTTTAGGTCACGGTTCGGTTCGGTACGTTTTCGGTACAGCAGACAAAATTATCACAAAACATTCAATATTTTTTTTTAAATTATTATTAAACTGTGACTAATGTATTCAAATAAATACAAAATATAGTAAAGGTGCAGAATTTCGATGAACTGAAATAATCTGTATTTGAACTGTACTAGTACCTAAGCAGCCAGCTTGACATTAGGACTTGCTTGTCATTGTATTTTCATGTTGTTTAAAGAAAGATGAACTTGTCCACATTGCTTGCTGAAATGGCAGATCAGCTGGCACTAACAATGTCTCCTGCTGTGGAGAACACCCTCTCTAGGGACAGTGGCAGCAGATACAGCCAGGTAGCGCTTTGCTAACATGAAAACATAAGGATATTTGGCGTTTGTAATAGCTTTGGCTCGGTCTGAACTCTTTGCGAGTGGTGGAGGCTTACATGCTAGTGGGAGTTGGGTTTGCACTTCAGTCTTTTTTCCTTTGGTACCGGTGATATTCACATTCGGGTGATGCCTTTTCAAATGAGTGATGTATTGCCAGCCGCGTAACCAATGATAGTTGAACAATGCCGACAAACAGCTTTGGTTCGGTCCACCTGTCTTTGTCCGTCATCCTTGTACGTAACTGCGAAACCAAAATGTTCCCAAACCAGAGACTTCAATGATGCTGGAGGATTTTCAGCTCAACTTTATCTGCGTTCGCCATTTCGACAGTTCCTCAAATTACTGACTACATTTGAACGCATCCCTGTGACCAGCTCTCATAGTATGCCTCTCGTCCAATGAAATGACTTGGTCGCTCTATGATATAGATTACTTCCAGAAAGTTGTTCATGTTCTCAATTTTTTATGTTTAACGCTATATTCGTTCGGTACACACGTGTACCGAACCGAAGGGCCCGTACCGAATAATTTCAGTACGGGTACGTGTACCGTTACACCCCTAATTGATTGATATGATTGCGATTTAAATCAGCATATACTTCTGTCAGAGGATGCCACCCCTCAAAATCTCCTGCCACCCTCTTGCCACCCCATGAATATTTGTCTAGATCCGCCCCTGCTACACAGTAAAGTACTTCCTTTTATTTCTGGTAGCAGTCAACTAGTACAGAGTCCAACAGTATCAGTTTTATTCAGAACTTATGGTAAAAAATATTTGTATCACTCATTGAATATAGCAGGAAAGAAAATGAAGAGCAGCTGATTGACCGAGTGCAGAATCGCTGTAGTTTAAATCTCCTTACAATGTTGTCCATTTTAGACAAAGGCTTATTATATTTACAGCCCTAATAACATTCATTTTCTGGTCTCAATATGTGTCTTGGCTGTTTTCGTTGTGATCGCTAAATTT